CTATTTCTCGATATTTCAATTCGATTTTTCAGTTTCTCGGTGTGTCGGTTTCCCCATTTCTCGACGTCCCGTTTCTCTTATTTTTCGTTTGCTTCATTTCTCGATTTCACCTTTTTCAGATTTCTCGATTTCTTGGTTTCTCGGTTTTTCGATTTCTCAATTTTCGACTTTTCCGTTTTGCGCATTTTCGATTTTTCTATATTTGCAACTTTTTTATAATTTTTCGATTTGTCGGTTTCTCCATTTCTCGGTTTCTTGACTTTTCGATTTGTCGATTGCTCAATATTTCAATTTTTCGATTTCTCGGTTACCCAGTTTCTCGTTTTTCGAATTTTTGAATTTTTTCTTCAGTTTTTCGATTATTTGATATCTCGGTTTCTCGATTTCTCAATTTTTTGAAGAATTTTTGATTTTTGGATTTTTTGCTTTCACAAATTTTCCATTTCTCGCCTTTTCTATTCCTTGATTGGCGTTTTTTCGATTTTAACTTCAATTTTCCTAATTTTAGAATTTTCGATTTCTCGGTTTGTGGACTTCTCAATTTTCGATTTTTGACTTCGCTTTTTCGAAATTTATGGATTTTTGATTTTTCCGGTTTCACGATTTTTCCATTTTTCGAGTTTTCGAACGTCGATTTTTCGGATTTTCGAATTTTCGACTTTTGATTTTTTGATTTTTAAATTTTTCGATTACATATTTGAATTTTTTCTTAAATTTTTCGATTTTTCGACTTCTCAATTGATGATTTTTCAACTTTTCAATTTTTTTCTTCAATTTTTCGATTTTTCAAATTGTCGATGTCACGCTCTCTCAATTTTCGATTTTCCGATTTTTCCAATTTCCATTTTTTCGAATTTTTCGAATTTGATTGTCTGATTTTGAAATCGAAAATTTCGATTTTTCGAATCCTCGTTTGTCGGTTTTTCGTCTTTTTTCAACTTTTTGAGTTTTAGATTTTCCGATTTTTCCAATTTTCGGATTTTCTCATCGATTGTGTGATTTGTCGATTTCACAATTGCGATTTCTCGATTTTTCGATTTTCAATTTTCGATTTCTCAGTTTTTGGTTTTCTTGATTTACATTTCTAGATTGTCAATTCCCTGATTTACGATTTGTCGATTTTCCAAATTTTCGATTTTTTGATTTTCAGATATTTCGGTTATATATTCAAAGTTTTTCTTAAATTTTTCGATTTTTCAACTTTTTGATTTCATGCTTTCCGGATTTTCGATTTTCCGATTGTTCCAATTTTAGATTTTTCAAATTTTTTCATCAATTGTGCGATTTTTTGGTTTTTCAAATTCTCAGTTTTCGATCTTTAAAATTTTTGATTTTTCGATTGTTCATATTTTTGAATTTTGGATTTTTAGAATTTTCGAGGTCTCGATTTCTCGATTTTCCTTTTCTCAATTCTCGATTTTCGATTTCTTGATTTTCGGGTTGTAGATTTTCGATGTCAATTTCCGAATGTTCGATCTTTCGAATTTTCGATTTCTCGACTTTAATTTTTCGATTTTCAGTTTCTCGATTTTTCATGTTTTTGAATTTTAGATTTTTCGCATTTTCGAATTCTCGATTTCTCGATTTCCGATTTCCCGGTTTCTCGATTTTCCATTTCTCGATTTCGATTTCTTTATTTCCGATTTCTCGATTTTCGATTTCTTGATTTTTGATTTTTCGATTTTTCAAGTTATCGAATTTTTGATTTTTCGATTTTCCTGCTTTCGATTTTTAAAATTTTTGGATTACATATTCAGATTTTTTCTTAATTTTTCGTTTTTTCGACTTCTCAATTGATGATTTTTCAATTTTTTTCTTTAATTTTTCGATTTTTAAACCTTTGGATTTCACACCCTCGATTTTCGATATTCCGATTTTTCGATTTTTTCGTCGATTGTGTGATTTTTCGATTTTTCAATTTTCGATTTTTCGAATTTTTGACTTTTCGATTTTTCGAATTTTTGACTTTTCGATTGTCCATATTTTTGAATATTTATTTTTCGAATTCTCGATTTTTCGATTTTCCATTTCCCGATTCTCGATTTCTCTGTTTCGATTTTTGATTTGTTGATTTTCAATTTGTCAGTTTCCGATATTTCGAATTTTCGATTTCTCGACTTTCAATTTCTCCATTTTAAATTTTTCGATTTTTCATGTTTTCGAATTTTAGACGTTTCCAATTGTTGAGTTCTCGATTTCCCGAATTTCGATTTCTCGATTTTCGTTTTCTCCATTTTCGATTTCTTGATTTTCGGGTTGTAGATTTTCGATGTGAATTTCCGATTGTTCGATCTTTCGAATTTTCGATTTCTCGACTTTAATTTTTCGATTTTCAGTTTCTCGATTTTTCATGTTTTTGAATTTTAGATTTTTCGCATTTTCGAATTCTCGATTTCTCGATTTCCGATTTTCCTGATTTTCGATTTTTAAAATTTTTGGATTACATATTCGGATTTTTTCTTAATTTTTCGTTTTTTCGACTTCTCAATTGATGATTTTTCGATTTTTTTCTTTAATTTTTCGATTTTTAAACCTTTTGATTTCACACTCTCGATTTTCGATATTCCGATTTTTCAAATTTTCGATTTTTCGATTTTTTTCGTCGATTGTGTGATTTTTCGATTTTTCAATTTTCGATTTTTCGAATTTTTGACTTTTCGATTGTCCATATTTTTGAATATTTATTTTTCGAATTTCCGATTTTTCGATTTTCCATTTCCCGATTCTCGATTTCTCTGTTTCGATTTTTGATTTGTTGATTTTCGATTTGTCAGTTTCCGATATTTCGAATTTTCGATTTCTCGACTTTCAATTTCTCCATTTTAAATTTTTCGATTTTTCATGTTTTCGAATTTTAGACGTTTCCAATTGTCGAGTTCTCGATTTTGCGAATTTCGGTTTCTCGATTTTCGTTTTGTCCATTTTCGATTTTTTTTTTCTTAAATTTTTTGGTTTTTCGAGATCTCAATTATCGATTTTTCGAATTTTTGACCTTCCAATTTTTCGAATTTTTGATTTTTCGATTTTCCGGTTTTTCGAATTTTTAATTTTTCGATTTCGCGAACATCAATTTTTCGGATTTTTTTCTAAAATTTTCGATTAAGCGATTTTTCGATTTTCCAATACATATTTCGAATTTTCGATTTTTCAGTTTTTCGATTTTTTGATTTTTAGATTTTTCGATTACATATTCGATTTTTTTCTTAAATGTTTTAATTTTTCGACTTCTCAATTGTTGATTTTTCGCTTTATCAAGTTTTTTCTTCAATTTTTCGCTTTTTTAACTTGTCGATTTCAGGCTCTCTCGATTTTCGATTTTACGATTTTTCCATTTTTTTTGTGGAACGTGTGATTTTTCGGTTTTTCGATTCCTCAATTCACGACTTTTCGAATTTTTCATTTTTCGATTATTCATGCTTTTGAGTTTTAGATTTTTCGAATTTTCAAGTTCTCGATTTTCCATTTCGAATTTTTGATTTCTCGGCTTTCAATTTCTCGATTTTCAATTTTTCGAATTTTGGAGTTCTTGATTTGATTTCGATTTCTCAATTTTCGATTTGCCGATTTTTGATTTCTTGATTTTCGATTTTTCGACTTTTCAAGTTATCGAATTTTTGATTTGTTATATTTATTTTGAATCACATATTCGATTTCTTTTTAAGTTTTTCATTTTTTTGACTTCTCAATTGTTGAAAAATCATTTTTCGAATTTTCAATTTTTGCTTCAGTTTTTCGACTTTTCAAATTTTCGATTTCACGTTGTCTCCATTTCGAATTTTCTATTTTTCCAGTTTTCAATTTTTCAATTTTTTTGTCGCTGATGCGATTTTTCGGTTTTTCGATTTCTTAATTTTCGAGTTCTTGATTTCCCTACTTTCCATTTCTCGATTTCTCAATTTCTCGACTTTCGATTTTCGATTTCTTAATTTTGCGAATTTTCGAGTTCTTGATTTCTTGATTTCGATTTCTCAATTTTCGATTTCCCGATTTTTGATTTCTTGATTTTCGATTTTTCGACTTTTCAAGTTATCGAATTTTTGATTTATTATATTTATTTTGATTTACATATTCCATTTCTTTTTAAGTTTTTCAATTTTTTGACTTCTCAATTGTTGAAAAATCATTTTTCGAATTTTCAATTTTTTGCTTTAATTTTTCGATTTTTCAAATTTTCGATTTCTTGACTTTGATTTCTCAATTTTCGACTTTTCTATTTTTCGGTTTTTCAGTTTCACATTTTTGTAATCTCCCCATTTTTCAATTATCTGTTTTTTCGATAATTCAATTTTTCGGTTTCCATTTTCTAAATTTCTCAATTTTTTGTTAACGATCCTTCGCTTTTTCGATTATTTCAGTTTTTCGATTTTTCGATTTGTCAATTTTTGATTTTCTGATTATACGAATTTAATTTCGATTTAAAACTTTTAAAAGTCAAACTTTTCCACGTTAAATTATCATCGTACTCGTGTGATCACACACCTCGATCAAGGTCTCGTTGTGATCAAACTTCACACCCCTTTTATCTCACTTCCAGTTCGTACACCGTTCACTTGAATGCCTCCGAACACAGGAATTTTTCGCAGGATATAGGAATTATTCCCTGTAAAAGAATTTTAGCCAACCACAAAAAATAAACCGAATTTTTTTTTAGGGAAAGTACCACCTCCAAGATTTCCCTCTCAACATCAACAAAATCCTCATAAAAGAAGTCGTTCCATACGGCACTCTCCGCTTCATCGCTCACAACATCAACACAAAAACAAAAAAAGTCGTCATGTGTTACGAAGCCGCCGTCGAAGTATCCTAACCAATTTTGTGACGAACATCCCATTACGACACAATAAAAATCGGAAACACTAGCATCCACCTGTTTTTTTTCATCTTCCACCCACCAAGTGTCCAATTTTGCAGCAAGTGCTAGTAAATTGTAAAAATGGCTCATAAAAAATTGTTATTATATCGACTAGTGTTCCTCCGGAGCGCTCCACTTGCGCGGTTTTATTGATTGCCTCCCATGCTCCAGGCAAATGCAGAATCCACAAGATCTCTCGCTCCCGTCCAGCTTCCCAAACTCACTATGGTGACGATAAACAAACCCGAACCCAGCGGAATCATACCAGAAATCATCCTCCAGTGATGTAGTGCTAAAAGCGAATAATGTGGTGCTTACCGGTAGCTTTTTTCTTATCGTTTTTGGTGAATTTTAGTCGCACGAACCCCGACGCGAAAAGACTCTACGACGACCTCCTGAGCAACTACAACCGACTTATTAGACCCGTCAGCAATAACACCGATACGGTTTTAGTAAAACTAGGGCTGCGACTGTCCCAGCTCATCGAACTGGTGAGACCCAACCTTTAACCTTTCCCTCACTAGGCGATTTTGATTGCAGAACTTGAAGGATCAGATTTTGACCACGAACGTGTGGTTGGAACATGTGAGTTATTCAGGGTGTCATTTTTGCGCTGTTTTATTATACGGTGTTGCAGGAATGGCAGGACCATAAATTCGTGTGGGATCCGGACGAGTACGGCGGGGTTACGGAATTGTACGTCCCTTCGGAGCATATATGGCTGCCGGATATCGTGCTGTATAACAAGTAACGGGTTTTTTGAGAGGTGTGCTTGTATTGATTGGGGTTTTTAAGTGCCGATGGGGAGTACGTGGTGACGACTATGACGAAGGCCGTGCTTCGGCACACCGGGAAGGTGCTGTGGACGCCGCCGGCGATTTTTAAGTCGTCGTGCGAAATCGACGTCCGCTACTTCCCCTTCGATCAACAAACGTGCTTTATGAAGTTCGGCTCCTGGACGTACGACGGAAATCAGGTTCGCCTCTAGTTTGCTTAAAATCGCTTAAAAAAACCTGCCGCATATTTACACTACATGCCACCACTCATTTATTTAGTTCAGATTCAGTAATTAAATAATCTGGTTTTGGCACCTCTAAAATCGCCAAAAATAACGTTTTTGTAGAGAAAAGGTCGCTTTATAAACTTGTCGCTGATAAATACGCAACGAAGGTATGCGTCGTTTATATCATCCGTTGACGTTGCCGCTGAAAGTTCGGTTTTCAACCAATCAAATTGCAGTAGTGTGCAGCGCTGCCAATAAAAATCCGGCGAATCACGACTGAGGTAGGTCGGTGGGTGAGGCTTACTTTGCCTTTTTTTCCTAATATGTTTAGTCATCTTTTTATAACAAGAAACTTAAAACATGTTAAAAATGATAAATTTGTATAGGAACATAAAAAAATTAAGTATTTAATTTAAATTTTCCATTTCAAACATGTTTTAAGTTTCATGTTGTGGAAAGAAGTCTACACATCCTAAAATAAAAGGGAAAAATATAAGCCCGCCCACCCACCCTATCTTAATTGTGATGATCCTTTTTAATTCGTCGTGAATCAAGGAGGCGAATATTAACTGCAAAATATTTATTTCTTCACAAGAATGTATATTTATGTATATTAAGCAAACAAGGCAAAATATAAACCCCGCCCACCCACCCCATCGCGATTGTAATGATTTTTTTTATTCTTAGACACTTAAATCACGTTCAAAATGGTAAATTTTTGTACGGAAATACGGATTTTGCATTTAGGCCTACGTTACTATTCTGACCAGGGCAGGTATGGGTGGGGCTTAATCTTTGGTTCTAATATTTTCTTAATATATGTCATAGTATTCTTTGAATAACGCGATAGTCAAAAACATGTCTTATATGGTAATCTCTTGTAGAGAAATACTAAGGATTTTGCAATGAAATTCCGCTCCTTTGGCTTTCGATGTTTAAAAAAGATCATCACAATTGGGGTAAGGTGGGTGGGCGGGGCTTATATTTTGCCTTTTTTCTTAATTCACGTAATCGTCTTTTCAGAACAAGAAACTTAAAACATATTTAAACTGGTAATTAGACAAATATGGATCTTGTAATTAAGCCCCGCCCCTCGATCTGACAACTAATGAAAAATTCATCACAATTGAGAATTGAGGTCGGGGCGGGTATGGGTAGGGTCTAATCTTTGCCTTGTTTTTTCTTAATATACGTACTATTCTTTGAACAACGCGATACTCAAAAACATGTTTTTCATTTCTCCTATTTTGGATTTTTTCTTAAAATGCAGAGCCATTTTTTCACAACAAGAAACTTAGAACATGGTTAAAATGGTACATTTTTGCAAGGAAATATGGATTTTGCAATTATGGGGCGAAGTCTAATTGGAACACCGATATTTCCTTATACAAATTTTCCATTTTAAACATCTTTAAGTTTCATGTTGTGAAAAAAAGTCTACACAAATTAAAATACAAAAGTAAAATGTATGCCCGCCCACCCGCCCTATCTCAATTGTAATGATTTTTTTATTCGCCGTGAACCAAGGGGGCGGAGCTTAACTGCCAAATACTTGTTTCTTTACAAAAATTCCATTTTTCAAATTTTCGATTTCAGGGTTTTTATATTTCTCAATTTTCGATTTTTGAGATTTCAATATTTCGGTTTCTCGATTGTTGGTTTTTGAGATTCATCGAATTTTTTCTTCAATTTTTCGAATTTTGAATTTTTGATTTCTCGGTTTTTTGAATTTTCGAATTTTCGATTTCTCGATTTCTCGATTTTTCGATTTTTCAAAGTTTTCTTTAATTGGTATAATATTTCAAATTTTCGATTTCTCGGTTTCTGGATTTCTCGATTTTCTGATTTTCCGATTTTTTGATTTTTTGAATCTCCGATTTTTTAAGTTTTTTCGTGAATTTTTTTCTCATATGATTTCTTGGCCTTTCGATTTCTCAGTTATTGAATTTTCGGATTTTTGACTTTTAGGTACTTCGATTTTCCGATTTTCCCGATTTCGATTTTTGGATCTTCGAGTTTTGAAATTTTTAGTTTCATTTTTCCATTTTTCGAATTTTGTATTTCTCGATTTCTGGATTCCCCAATTTTCGATTTTTGAATTTTCGAAATTTCAGTTTATCGATTTTTCCACGTTTCGATTTGTTGATTTTTCGTTTTTTCAAAGTTTTCTTTAATAATTGATCCATAATTTAAAATTTTCGGTTTTTCGGTTTCTAAATTACTCAATTTTTGGTTTTTGAATTCTCAATATTTCGGTTTTTCGATTGTTGATTTTTGAGATTTATAGAATTTTTTCTTCAATTTTTCGAATTTTGAATTTTTGATTTCAGGATTTCTCGTTTTCTCGACTTTGAATATTTTGATTTTTTTTCTTTTTTAATTTTTAGACTTATCGATTTCTCGATTTTACGATTTTCTGATTTTTTGATTTTTCGAATCTCTAAGTTTTTTCATGAATTTTTTGATGTTTAATTTGTAGGTTTTTCGATTTCTCAGTTATTATCCGAAAAATCATTTTTCCATTTTTCGAATTCTGGATTCTCCAATTTTCGATTGTTGAACTTTCGAAATTTCGGTTTTTCGATTTTTGTATTTCTCAGTTGTTGATCGTTCGAATTTTCGATTTCTCAATTTCTCGATCTCGAATTTTCAAAGTTTTCTTTAATTGGTCTAATATTTCAAATTTTCGATTTCTCGGTTTCTGGATTTCTCAATTTTCGATTTTTGGATTCACAATGTTTCGGTTTCTCGATTGTTGAGATTTTTCGAATTTTTTCTTCAATTTTCCGAATTTTGAACTTGCGATTTCTCGTTTTCCCAACTTTCAATGTTTCGAATTTTTTCATTTTTGATTTTTAGATTGATCGATTTCCGGATTTTATAATTTTCTGATTTTTCGGTTCTCCGATTTTTGAAATTTTTTAATTAATTTTTGATTTGCCGATTTTTCTCAATTATTATCGATTTTTCAATTTTCAATATTTTGGTTTTTGGATTGTTGATTTTTCAATTTTCGAATCTTTGCTTCAATTTTTAGAATTTGGAATTTTTGATTTCACGGTTTTTTGAATTTTGGATTTCTCGATTTCTCTATTTTTCGATTTTTCAAAGTTTTCTTTAATTGGTCTAATATTTCAAATATTCGATTTCTCGGTTTCTAGATTTCTCAATTTTCGACTTTTGGATTTACAATGTTTCGGTTTCTCGATTGTTGATTTTTGAGATTTTTCGAATTTTGAACTTGCGATTTCTCTTTTTCCCAACTTTCGAAGTTTCGAATTTTTTCATTTTTGATTTTTAGATTGATGGATTTCCGGATTTTATAATTTTCTGATTTTTCGGTTCTCCGATTTTTAAAGTTTTTTCATTAATTTTTTGATTTGTCGATTTCCCGGTTTTTCGATTTCTCAATTAATGTCGATTTTTGAATTCTTAATATTTTGGTTTTTGGATTGTAGATCTTTGAATTTTCGAATTTTTGCTTCAATTTATCGAATTTTGAATTTTCGATTTCTCGATTTTTCGATTTTTCAAAGTTTTCTTTAATTGGTCTAATATTTCAAATTTTGGATTTCTCGGTTTCTGGATTTCTCAATTTTCGATTTTGAATTCACACTGTTTCGGTTTCTCGATTCTTGATTTTGAGATATTTCAAATTTTTTCTTCAATTTTTCGAATTTTGAACTCACGATTTCTCGTTTTCTCAACTTTCAATGTGTCGAATTTTTTAATTTTTGATTTTTAGATTGATCGATTTCCGGATTTTATAATTTTCTGATTTTTCGGTCCTCCGATTTTTGAATTTTTTTCATTAATTTTTTGATTTGTCGATTTCCCGGTTTTTCGATTTCTCAATTATTGTCGATTTTCCAATTTTCAATATTTTAGTTTTTGGATTGTTGAGTTTTGAATTTTCGAATTTTTGCTTCAATTTTTCGAATTTTGAATTTTGATTTCTCGGTTTTTTGAATTTTCGAATTTTCGATTTTTCGATTTCTCGATTTTTCGATTTTTCAAAGTTTTCTTTAATTGGTCTAATATTTCAAATTTTCAATTTCTCGGTTTCTGGATTTCTCAATTTTTGATTTTTGAATTCTCAATATTTCGGTTTCCCGATTGTTGATTTTTGAGATTTTTCGAATTTTTTCTTCAATTTTTCGAATTTTGAACTTGCGATTTCTCGTTTTCCCAACTTTCAATGTTTCGAATTTTTTCATTTCTGATTTTAAGATTGATCGATTTCCCGATTTTATAATTGTCTGATTTTTAAAGTTTTTTCATTAAATTTTTGATTTGTCGATTTCCCGGTTTTTCGATTTCTCACGATTTTTGAATTCTCAATATTTTGGTTTTTGGATTGTTGATTTTTGAATTTTCGAATTTTTGGTTCAATTTTTCGAATTCTGAATTTTTGATTTCTCGGTTTTTTGAATTTTCGATTTTTCGACTCTTCAATTCTCAATATTTTGGTTTTTCGATTGTTGATTTTTGAATTTTTGAATTTTTTTCTTCAATTTTTTCGAATTTTGAATTTTTTGCTCCATGGTTTCTCGTTTTCTCGATTTTTTCTTTTTTGATTTTTAGGTTGATCGATGTCTCGATTTTACGATTTTACGATTTTTTAAGTTCTTTCATTAATAGCTTGATTTTTCGATTTCTCGGTTTTCCGATTTCTCAGTTATCGGTTTTTCGTATTTTTGACTATTCGGTTCTTCGAATTTTCGATGTTTCAATTTCCAATTTTTCGAATTTTCCATCTTTTGATTTCTCGAATGCCGATTTTTTCGATTTTTTTCTTTTAATTTTTAGATTCATCGATTTCTCGATTTTACGATTTTCTGATTTTTTGATTTTTCGAATCTCCGATTTTTTTGTTTTTTCATGAATTTTTTTATTTCTCGGTCTTTCGATTTTTCAGTTATTAATTTTCCGGGTTTTTTAATTTTAGGTATTTCGATTTTTCGATTTTCCAGATTTCGATTTTTCGAATTTTTGACTTTTCGGTTATTCGAATTTTTAATTTCTCGATTTTTTCAATTTTTCAGTCGTTCTAATATTTCAAATTTTCAATTTCTCGGTTTCTGAATTTCCCAATTTTCGATTTTTGAACCGAAATATTGTTTCTCAATTGTTGATTTTTGAGATTTTTAAAAATTTTTCAATTGTTCTAATGTTTCAAATTTTTTATTTCTCGATATCTCGATTTCTCAATCTTCGATTTTTGAAATCTTAATATTTCAGTTTCTCGATTTTTGATTTTTGAGATTTTTAAAAATGTTTCTTCAATTTTTCGAATTTCGAACTCACAATTTCTCGTTTTCCCAACTTTCAATGATTCGAATTTTTTCATTTTTGATTTTTAGATTGATCGATTTTATAATTTTCTGATTTTTTGGTTCTCTGAATTTTAAAGTTTTTTCATTAATTTTTTGATTTGTCGATTTTTCGGTTTTTCGATTCCTCAGTTATTTTTCGATTTTTTTCTTAAATTTTTCTGAATTTTGAATTTTTGATTTCAGTTTCTCGTTTTCTCGTATATTTTCTTTTTTGATATTTAGCTTGATGTGTCGATTTTACGATTTTCCGATTTTTCAGTTTTTTCATAAATTGTTTGCTTTTTCGATTTCTCTCTCAGTTATCGATTTTTCGTATTTTTGACTTCTAGGTTCTTCGAATTTTCGATATTTCAATTTCCCATTTTCCAAATTTTCCATTTTTTGATTTCTCAAATGTCTATTTTCTGTATTTTTGTCTTCAGTTTTTCGATTAATCGATATTTTGGTTTTTCCACATTTAGAATTTTTCGATTTTTTGATGTTGCGATTGTTCGATTTCCTATTTCTCGATTATTCGAATTTTCCTTAAATATTCGGATTTTTCAAATTTTCAAATTTTTTCTTTAGTTTTTGATTTTTCGACTTCTCGATTGTTGAACATATTTCACATGATAATTATTCGTAGAAAAATAAGGATTTTACAATTAAGCTCCGCCCCTCAACTTACGACGAATTAAAAAAAAAATCATCAGAATTGAGATAGGGTGGGTGGGCGGGGCTTATATGTTCCCTTTTTTTTCTTAATATACATGGCCATCTTTTCACAAGAAAGTTAGAACATTGTCAAAATGATATATTTTTGAACGGAAATGTGGTTTTTGCAACTATTTTCCATTTTAAACATGTTTTTAGTTTCAAGTTGTGAAAAGAAGGCCAAAAGCCGAGAAGTCGAAAATTCGAAAAATCCAAAATTTAGAAAATCGAAAAATTGAAAAATCGACAAGCCAAAAAACGGAAAAAAAATTGAAAAACGGAGAAATCAATATTAAAAAAATTAGAAAAGTGTAGAATCGAAATCTGAAAACTTGAGAAATTGTATGATTCCAAAACTGAAATGACGAAAAATCGGAAAATCGAAAAATTAGAAAATTAAAAAGTCGAAAAGCCGAAAATGCGAAAAAGCCAAAATTTAAAAAATTGGAAAATTGAAGAATTGAAAAACTGAAAACTCGAGAAATTGAAAAATTCCCAAACTGAAAAATCGAAAAATTAGAACATCCAAAAATTGAAAATTCCCAATAACGTACTGAAATGTTGAAAAATCGGAAAGTCGAAAATTTTTTAAAATCCAAACACCGAAATGCTAAGAAATGGAATAAAAAAAATCGTAAAATTGAAAAATTGAAAAATCAATAAACTGAAAGATAAAAAATTTGAAAATATCGAAAACTTGAAAAATTTAAATATCGAAGATCTGAAAAACTGAAAAATCGGAAAGTGCGAAAAATCGAAAAGTGTAAAATTTAAAAAATAGAAACATTAAAATATCGAAAAATCGAAAAATCTGGAAATCGAATCATCAAAAAATCTAAAAATTGAAAGATATAAGACTTAAAAATCGAAAAATTGCTATATCAAAAAGCCGAGCAGTTGAAAAATCGAAAAATCCAAAATTTAAATAATAATCGGAAAATTGAAGAATTGTGATAAATTTTTTTTATTCGCCGTGAACTAAGGGGGCGGAGCTTAACTGCAAAATACTTATTTCTTCACAAAACATGGTTTTAATTTCTTGTAAAGAAATAAGGAATTTTCAGTTAAGCTTCGCTTTCTTGGCTCACGACGAATAAAAAAAATCATCACAATTGAGATCGGGTGGGTGGGCGGGGTTTATATTTTGCTTTTTTTTTTCTTAATATGTGTAGACTTATTTCGACAACAAGAACACATATTTACACAACATTCCACCACTACTCAAATATATTTAGTAGAACTGATCGTAATTTAATAATCTGACGTTCGGCAGATCGATCTAAAACACATCAATCAGAAGGCTGGCGAAGACAAAGTAGAAGTAGGAATCGATTTACGTGAATATTATCCCAGCGTGGAATGGGACATTCTGGGTGTGCCAGCAGAACGTCACGAAAAGTACTACCCCTGCTGTGCAGAACCCTACCCCGGTAAGAATTTCAGCCCCAAAACCCACAACTAACATTAGCTTTTAGATATCTTCTTCAATATCACACTCCGCCGCAAAACCCTTTTCTACACCGTCAACCTAATCGTCCCTTGCGTCGGAATCTCCTATCTTTCAGTCCTCGTTTTCTACCTCCCGGCCGACTCCGGGGAGAAAATCGCCCTCTGTATTAATATCCTCCTCTCCCAAACCATGTTCTTCCTCCTCATTTCCGAAATCATCCCATCCACCTCCCTCGCCTTACCCCTCCTTGGCAAATACATCCTCTTCACCATGGTCCTCGTCGCCCTCTCCGTCGTCATCACCATCATCATCCTCAACGTGCACTACCGCAAACCCAGCACCCACAAAATGGCGCCTTGGGTTCGCAGCTTCTTCATCAAGAGCGTCCCGAAGCTGCTCTTGATGCGGGTCCCCAAAGACCTGTTGACCGAACTCGCCGCCAATAAAATCTCCTGTCGGATGGCTTTGAAAAAGCAGCGCGAACTCGAGTCGATGCCATCCACAGGATCGTCTTCCTCTAGCTCTTCGAGTTCGTCTAGGAACAGAGCTAGCGGCTGCAACGGGCTGCACTCCAGCTCCACGACGAATCGACTGCGCGGCTTCACGGGGACGCTGGGGAGCAGATTGGGGTACAACGGGCTGCCGTCGGTGTTTTCCGGGCTGGATGAGAGCGACTCCGGGACCCGGAAGAAGTATCCCTTCGAGCTGGAGAAGGCCATTCACAACGTGATGTTCATCCAGCACCATATACAAAGACAAGATCAGTTCAATGCGGTGAGTGCGAGATTGCGGTATCGATTTTAAATTGTTTGTGTGGTTGCAGGAGGATCAGGATTGGGGGTTTGTAGCAATGGTTCTAGACCGGCTGTTTCTTTGGATTTTTATTATAGCGTCGATTGCTGGGACGTTTGCGATTTTGTGCGAAGCTCCGGCTCTGTACGACGACACTAAACCGATCGATACGGAACTGTCTTCAGTAGCCCAACAGCAATTTCTACCTGAGTTAGATTTCTAACTAAGATTCAATCGTTTGGTCAATATCGCGTATCACGTTAGTATGTAATTATTAAATAATAAAATATTAACTAAAAGTGGTTGGGTTTGTTGGGGAAGGGCGAGGATGCACCTGAAGCGATGACTAAGCAGTTGTCTGCATCCACTGAATGTCATTCGTGCGAACGCGTTTAATAGACCGTTACGATCATGAATTTGCAACCTCTTTTTATCAATTATTGATGGATCGATTAATCATGGGACGTGAATGGGTCAACCCTTCTCTCGAAACTGGGTTATTCCCTGAAGACCGAAAGGGACAAAAACGCTTCTATATATATAACTAGAGAGCGGATTTATAAGCACAAAAAAATTAAGAATAAGCGCTTAAATAAGCACAACATTTTCAATAAAAAAGTTTTATTTTAAGCAAAAAAGCATTAAAAACATAATCATATTACAAATCAGAGAACATTTCTTAGAACTTTGGATAAAATATTATTACAATAATCTTAGACTTTATATTTTACACACGTATTTCAGTTTTCTTTAAAACAATTTATGATTGCAATATGTTCCAAGTTGTCCACTGTAAAATTTTTTCGCCGATCATTTAAAACGTGTTTAAAATTGGAGAATGTGCGTTCAACATCCACACTCGTTGTTGGCGCAAATTTGAATTTTGCAACTAATGTTGAATCTAACTCAAAATTTTCCACCTTCTGGCCTTGTAAAACACGAGCAACGTCGGAAAGAACACCGAAACCTGCATTCTTATTTAACACTTCGTCAAGTTTTTGGGATACTCTTGTACAATCGCACGCAAATGTTTTGAACCTATGGGCGGATCATTTTTGCCGGTCGTCACCGAAGGAGGCGGTCCAAATCGTCCAAGGGCAGAATTTGTAGGTAGGCTCAAACTACAACGAAATTTACGTGTTGACCAAATTCTTACCCTGAATTTGTTTTAATTTTATAAATACCCTATCTAAAATGTTCAGAATATGATGAGTCTATACTTGTGATTTACCATTCCATTAATATTTTTTGGATTTGTTTATACATACAGGGTGACTCAAAAAAAATGACTGAGTCAATTTATTTTATTGAAGAAATCAAGAATTGCAAAACTGAATACTTTGAAATCTTGTCAATTAGTTAGAAAAAAAAAAACCTGTCCTGCTCTAATAACATCGAGAATATGCTCAAAATCACACTAATATTAGGTCTAATTGTGCCGACCATAGTTATAAAATTCACATTAAAGTAAGTCACGGACATTTTTTGAAGTGTACTACATTTCAAAAAGCAAAAAAATGTTCAGTTTATAAACTTCTTAATTTTGTTTTAAAGTTTATCAATCATATTTGACGCTTTATTTTATCCGTTCCATTTGTTATCCTTTACTGCGGTCTCTCTTGGGTCGAGGTGTAACACCGGACCGAACGTTCTTCGACCGATAGGATAATTTATCACTTCCGACATCTTTTCGGTGACAAATTTAATCTTTGCATACTTCAGCGTAGGGAACTCGTTGTGACCACTGAAATATACAAAGAGTAAATTTTGAAATGGAACGAAAGTCGAAGAATACTTTCAAAACCACGATCAAAATGTATTTGTTTATCTTCGCCAAAAAATGCATGACGTCATCGTAAAATTTGATATGATGAGTCTATACCTGTGATTTATCATTGCAGTAATATTTTTTAGATTTACTTATACAGCCTATCTCAAAAAAAGGTCACTTCGATTTTCGATTTTTCGTTTTTTCGACCAACAGTTTCATAGAATTAGATTTTTCAGTTTCCATTTTTCTATCAACTTTTCGATTTTATTACTTTCTAATTTTCTGATTTTTCAAATTTACGGTATTTTGATTTTTCGAGTTTTCAGTTTTTTCGTTTTTCGATTTTTTAATTTTTCGTTTTTTTGATTTTTCGATGTTTCGATTTTTTAAGTTGCCATTCTTTCAATTTTCGATTTTTCGTCTTTCCATTTTTAGATTTTTTGATTTTTCTGTTCGTCAGTTTTTAGATTTTGCGATTTTTTTGCATTTTTCGATTATATTTTACTTTCCGATTTTTTTGATTTTTGAATTCTCGATTTTACGTTTTTAATTCTTCGATTTCCGATTTTTCAATTTTCCGGTTTTTTAATTCTTCTATTCTCGATTTTTCGATTTTCCATTAATCATAAAATTTTTCGATTTTTCGGTTGTTTTATTTTTCGACCTTCGATTTTTCAACTTTCGATTATTCGATTTTCCATTTTCTGATTTTACGATTTTTCGATTTTGGTTTTTCCGCTTTTGTGGTTTTTCGATTTTTCTGTTTGTTTCAGTTTTTACGGTTCTGCAATTTGCAGCTTTTAGATTTCAATTTTGTTACTTTCCGATTTTCCACTTTTCGATTTTTTGATTTTTTTTCGATCGTCGTTTTTTCGATTTTTTGATTTTTCAATTTTTAGGCCTTGCAATTTTTTTACTTTTCGCTTTTTCGAGTATTTGTTTCATCGAATTTTCGATTTTCGATTTTTCGGTTTTTCCATTTTCCGATTTTCGATTTTTCGACTTTCCATGTTTAGATATTTTTCGATCTTTTTTTATTTTTCGATTGTTCTGTTCGTCAGTTTTGAGACTGCAATTTTTACTTTTTCACTTTTCTATTATTTTAGTTTCGGATTATTCGATTTTTGAATTTACGTTTTTTTTTCATTTGTCGATTTCCGATTTCCGATTTTTTAATTTTTCGATTTTTCGGTTTTTTAATTTGTCGATTATCGATATTCCGATTTCCGATTTTTCGATTTTCCAATCTTCGATTTTTCAAATTCCAGTTTTCGATTTTCCACCTTTTGATTTTACGATTTTTCGATTTTTTTGTTTGTCAGTTTTTAGGCTTTGCAATTTGTTTACTTTTCGATTTTTCGATTATTTTACTTTCCAGTTTTTTGATTTTTGAATTGTCGACTTTTAGAGTTTTCAATATTATGAATTTTCGAATTTTCGGTTTTCCTATTTTTCGATTTTTGATTTTTCCTTCTTTCGGTTTTTTTTATTTTTCAATTCTCGGTTTTTCAATCTTGCAAATTTTCGATTTTTCAGATTTGTGAATTTCCAGTTTTTCGATCGACCTACGTATTAGATTCATTGAATTTTCGATTTTCGGTTTTTCCATTTTTAGATTTTTGATTTTCCAGTTTTGTATTTTCAGATTTTCTGTTTTTCGCATATCTGATTTATCAAATTTTCGATTTTTCGGCTTTTCGATTTTTCGATATTTGATTTTCGAATTTTCGATTGTTCAGTTTTCCATTTTTCAGCTTTTAGACTTCAATTTTTTTACTTTTCGATTTTCCAAATTTTCGAGTTTCAATTTTCAGATTTTTGATTTTTCGATTTTCTTTTTAAATCTTTGAATTTTTCGGTTCTGATTTTTCCAATTTTTGATTTTTAATTTTTCCATTCTTCGGTTTTTAGACTTCAATTTTCTTTCTTTTAAATTTTTCGATATTCTATTTTCCGCTTTTCAGAATTTTCGATTTTCAGTTTTCAAACTTTCGATGATTAGAATTTTGGATTTTTCAGTTTTATGATTTTTCGATTTTTAGAAAATTTGAGTAGTCGAATTTTCGATTTTTCAATTCACCGATTTTTCTATGTTCAATTTTTCAATTTAAATTTTGCGATTTTCAATTTGTCCATTGTCGATTTTTAGAATTTTCGGTTTTTCAATTTTTTCATTCTCAACTGTTAGATTTCAATTTTGTTATCCGATTTTTTGGTTTTCGATTTTCCAATTTTCAGAATTTCCAAGTTTCTTTATTCAGATTTTCGATTTTCCACTTTTTCGATTTTAGATTTTTCGAATTTTTGTTTTTCCAATTTTTTGCTTTTTCGATTTTTCTGTTCGTTTCAGTTTTTAGGCTTTGCAATTTTTTTAACTTTATATATTTTGATTATTTTAATTTCCGATTTTTTTATTTTTGTTTTTGATTTTTTAATTTTCAATATTACAAATTTTTGACTTTTCGATTTTCCCGTTTTTCAATTTTCGATTTTTCGATTTTTGAGGTTTGTGAATTTCCACTTTTCGATCGACCTAGGTATTTGATTCATTGAATTTTCGATTTTTTGATTAGCCATTTTTAGATTTTCGATTTTTACGATTTGTATTTTTCGATTTTCTGTTTTTTGCATTAGTGAATTTCAGTTTTTCCGATTTTTGATTTTGCGCATATTTGATTAATCAAATTTTCGAAAAAGTTATCATGCTTACAAAAACTTCAAAACATCTACAATATTTCAAAGTATTCAGTTTTGCTATTCTTGATTTCTTCAATAAAATAAATTGACTCAGTCATTAACTTTTTTGAGACACCCTGTATAACCAAATCTAAAAAATATTAATGCAGTGATAAATCACAAGTATAAAACTCATCATATTTTATACATTTAAGATAGGATTTATTCTGCAAAATTTTGAGGTGACGTCAAAAATTTTTTAGAGGGGATAAGCAAATATATTTTAATTAAAAATGTATCATGTTTATCATATTTTAAAACATCTGCAAGATTTCAAAGTATTCGATTTTGCAAATTCAAAATTAAATTGCAAAATATTGTTTTATAATTTTGATTTTTTTTCCAAAAATCTGGACGTTTCGGATAAAAACTCAACGCGGAGTCATAAACTACATGTGTAGGACTATGTTACTGTATACAATTTAAAACCCATTTACTATGCATAAATTTGAAGTGACGTCATCACATTATTGGTGGGGATGATTAGACAAATTTAATAATTTTGCGACATTTATGAAAAACATATCAGTTAACAAAAATGGCACGTCAAAATGCCGAAAAAGAACATCTGGTTAAAAGCTTTAATTCATTATCAACGGAAGTAAGGATTTAAAGTCATAAAATCTATGGAGTATTTTTCCAATCCTATAATAAAATTTTATTACCCAAACTACCGGAACCTATTCACAGAAAGGGTCTTGAGTAAGTGTACTTCAATGGTCAAGTCCAGGTAAAATGCATACGATACGAT